GAGAATATGGAATTACAGGGGTGATCTGTGTAAAAAATATTGAGTAAATGGGGCCTGGCTGTGTTGGTCAGGCTGGTCTCAAGCCCCTGGCCTCAAGTGATCCTACTCCCTTGGTCTCTCAAAGTGCTTGGATTATAGACGTGAGCCACTGCGCCTGGCCCCAAACTGTCTTTATGTAATTGAGACTCCTGTACACATAATAAGTTGAGATTTCATCACCTCAGGTTGGAATTAACACTTCAGGGTTAGAAAGATCTAACATTACTACCTCTAGGTGGTGTATGATTTTGATTTTAATAAGTCTCCTCTGTAAAATGGGGACAATGACACCTACCCCGAGGACTGGTTGTGCCAGTTAGGTGAGGTAACTTGCGTTGGTTTCGTAGACAGTACCTGACACAGGGTAAGCTCTCAGCACATAGTCGTTCTTATTAGCATTGCTTTTATTATATATTTTTATTATTTTTGCTATAGTCGTGAAATGTATTTGAAAAGAAGCAAAAATGAAACACTTTTTAAGAGAGTACGGTGACCTGAGCGAGAGTATACGGTTTTTGTTGGCTAATGATTTCCAGGGCCATCCAAGTTCAAGTTTTGAGCATGTAGCCAGTGTCTTTTGAATACCTTGAGAGAGCGAGCAGACAAGAAAGAGTTTGGCTCAGAATAGGTAGGAGGTGGGAACCTAGAGTCCTGGTGAGTGTGCCTTTACACCCGACATCTCCCTCCAGATGGCTGTTCAGCCAGATTGATAATTAGCATCAACAAATGCAAGCTGAGAGCCTCCTGGGCTGCGCGTCTCCAGCACGGATATGTATCGAGAGAAGCATGCGACATGTGGAAGCCCGAACTCAATTGGGTTGTATGGCTGGGCTCAGGTGGGCCTGTGGAGGCATTGCTTCGAGTTGGGCCTGCCTGAGTCTCAGCTGGTGCACAGACACTGCCCTACAGCCCACGATTTGCCCAGGGGGCTCAGCAGAACAGACCCACCTTGGTGGGGGGCTGCAGCTTCCAGCTGCTTTGCAGCCTCTGTCAGGCCAGGGCTGCTTGAGTCCTTGCTCTGCTATTTAAATCTATCATTTGTTGGTGACAGCTTTCTGCCTAAGCAGTGGCAGCGTGTATGTATGCTACAGGTTTCAGCTCATTACCTCTGTAGGGCTGTTCTTAGGCTGCTGGCTGGGGGAAAGGCCAGCCATGCAGACTGAGGCGCCATCCCCAAACCCTCTATTGGCAGTTGCTGAACCTGGGCAGAGTGTGGGGCCCTGCTACCTTCAGTGCCTGCTACCCACCCTTCAGAGAACCTGTCTGCAGCAGGGCCAGAGCCTAATGTTTTGTTTTCTCCCAGTCTGGTGGGACTGTGATACTTGGACATGGACACGGACATCAAGGAGATGTGGGCTCTGCTGTTCTGGTTAAGTGGGCCTTGGGCAAGTCAGTTTACTTCTTGGGGTTCATTTCCTCTGTTAATAGGTGGTGAACTTTTCAAGGGCGATTAACATGTCATCTTTATCTCCATATCCCTTGGACATAGTAGGTACTTAGTAAATGACAGCTTACATCTGTAAGATGAGGATGATTGGACATTTATCGCTAAGTTGTACTGGGCAGAGACAATGAATGTAATTCTGTTAAACTTTGACAAATAGGAATAATGTAAAGGAACCCTTGTATTTCCCCATGTTTGTCCCCCATATCTCCAGTATTAAAGAATCTTAGACAAATGGGGACTTAAAAAGGAGTTCGTTTGTTTATCTTTATTTACTGATTCAAACATTTACTACCTTTGCCAGTTTTGATCTAAACAGACATCTCTATTTGAGGCATCTTATATATAAAAAATATGTAAATAGTCAAGAAACACATGAAGGCATACTTAATCTAATTAGCCATTAGGAAAATGCAAATTAAAACCCCAGTGAGATACCGTGTCATACCCTCAGGTGACTGTGGTCAGAGAGACATTAACAAGTGTTGGTGTGGGAGGCAAAAACAGAAGCATCATTTGTTGCTGATGGGAATGTAAAATGGGGCAGCTTCCTTGGAAAGCAGCCTGGCAGTTCCTCAAAATGTTAAACATAGAGCAATTCTATTTCTAGGTATTTATCCAAGAGAAATGAAAACATATGCCCACACAAAGATTTGTACGCACATATTCACAGTAGCATTATTTTTATAGGTGCATCTGAATGCCCTGGTCTGTTATGGACTGGATGTTAGGATGCCCTATAGAGGAGATTTTCCAGGGATAGCTACTCTCGTGTTTGTCTTCTTATATGTTGTTTATGCATAGGAAATGCCAAGCTTTTGGCCTCTCTAATTTATAACTTCCAGAGAACAGCTTAAGTTTGGTTTGTGTTTAAGGAAATTCAGGGAGTCTCTTGCAGGGCTTCTGTAGAAACCTTTATCAACTAAAGGTATCTGGTGTTTCCCAGACTTTTCAGTTCTGCATTCCTTGTAGTCAGCAGGGAAGGACCTCTTCTTGTTATGATGTGAGTTACTCTCAACATTTCAGGCTTTTGAAGATTAATTCCTGATCTGAGGGAAGATTCTGGCAGTACTGGGATATCTTTAGAAGGCACTAAGGGCCTTGTCAGTTTCTGGGGTGGGCAGGTGCTTCTTCTTCTTTTTTTTTTTTTTTTTTTTTTTTAATACCGTTTTAGGTTTTGGGGTACATGTGAAGAACATGCAAGATTGTTGCATAGGTACATACGTGGCAGCGTTATTTGCTGCCTTCCTCCCCTTCACCTATATCTGGCATTTCTCCCCACGCTATCTCTCCCCAGCTCTCCACCCCCCACTGTCCCTCCCGTTTCCCCCCAACAGACCCCAGTGTGTGATGCTCCCCTCCCTGTGTCCATGTGTTCTCATTGTTCAATACTCGCCTGTAAGTGAGAACATGTGGTGTTTGATTTTCTGTTCTTGTGTCAGTTTGCTGAGAATGATGGTTTCCAGGATCATCCATGTCTCTACAAAGGACACCACGAACTCATCATTTTTGATGGCTGCATAATATTCCATGGTGTATATGTTCCACATTTTCCCTGTCCAGTCTACCATTGATGGGCATTTGGGTTGGTTCCAAGTCTTTGCTATTGTGAACAATGCTGCAATGAACGTTTGTGTGCACGTGTCCTTATAGTAGAATGATTTATAATCCTTTGGATATATACCCAGTAATGGGATTGCTGGGTCAAATGGAATTTCTATTTCTAGGTCCTTGAGGAATCGCCACACTGTCTTCCACAATGGTTGAACTAATTTACACTCCCACCAACAGTGTAAAAGTGTTCCTATTTCTCCACATCCTCTCCATCATCTGTTGTCTCCAGGTTTTTTAATGATCGCCATTCTAACTGGCATGAGATGGTATCTCAATGTAGTTTTGATTTGCATTTCTCTAATGACCAGTGATAATGAGCATTTTTTCATATGTTTGTTGGCCTCATGTATGTCTTCTTTTGTAAAGTGTCTTTTCAGCAGGTGCTTCTTATAGTCATTTCTATGACTAAGATACCTGATCAGCAGGCCTTTTTTTTCTGGCTGTAACTAGTGATAGGTTGCAGGTGGGTGCTTGTGGGGGTGGAACATCTTAGAGGTGTCTGCAAAGTTTAGGAGTCAGAGAGCATCAGTGTCAAGGACAGGACTTCTTGATTGAGATTTGGGGCCAATGTAAGTCAGTTCTCTAATATTTTCTTACATTTGAGTTATTAGCTCTTCCTATAAGTAAATGATAAAGGAGTAAGGGAAAATGCATCCTTAATAGGCAGAATAAAGCTAAGTGGCTATAGAAAGGCTGTAGAAATCCCAACAAAGCAGCTCTATTTATTTGTAGAACATAGGTGAAATGTTTATTACACGCAGAACAAATTAAACCAAAACATTTAAATGCACCATAGTATATGATTACAGAAACTGGAAAGATCTAGGAATAACAATAACAAGGGAACAAATGAACTAGACATGGACGCTAATCTTCCCTGAAACTAAAATAGGTGGGCATGCAGAAGTGCTTCAGGGATGGGAGGTCAGGCTGCAGGGTGATGGACATTGGGCATGTGCCTGGGACACTCCTTGAGGTACATGGGGACTATTTGAGATCAACTTCTCTGATTAGAAAGTTGTTTGGTGAGTACCAAAATAGGACAAAAGTGAGTGAGTGTTTTTAAGGGAGATTTCCCTCAAGCTCTGTTTGGTAGATAAATAATAGCTCTCTGTTGTGGAATATTTTCTCTCCAGGCCACTGTCATTGACCTTTCAAATGCTTGAGGGTGAGAAGGGTAAAGATAATGTAAAAGTATCAAGAAAAGAAAAGTAAAGGGAAAATAGTTAAAAAAAAAAAAAAAAAAAAAAAAAAAAAAAAAAAGGGAGAGAGAGAGAGAAATTCCATATAGTCCAGTGAAGAAGTTGTTTTGACCTAGATATAAAAATATAGGCAAGTCTGAAATCTTGTTGCTTTTCTCTTTAGTTTGCCTTCTTTGATATAAGCCTGTTTATTCATGTCTGTATGATAACCATTGACACTTAAATGTGAAGTTCTCAGTACTTTACTCCATTGTCCTATTAGAGGTCCTGGTTTTAGAACATATAGTCTGGATATGTACAGCCTATGGGTGTTGTGAGGATTAAATGAGCTATATATAGTAAAGCTAACCAAAAAACATTGGTTATGGGCCAGGTCCCAAAGCGTTTAAAAAAAAAATGAGCCAGGCAGGGTGACTCATGCCTGTTATCCCAGTGGTTTGGGCAGCTGAGGCAAGAGGATTGTTTGATGCCAAGAGTTTGAGACCAGCCTGGGCGACATAGCAAGATCCCATCTCTACAAAAAATAAAAAAAAATAACTGGGAATGATGGTTTATGACTGTAGTCAGTGACTCAGAGGCTGAGGCAGCAGGATCGTTTCAGCCAGGAGTTTGGACCTGTAGTATACCATGCTCACACCTGTGAATAGCCACTGCATTCTAGCCTGGGCAACATAGTGCGACCTTGTCTCTTTTTTAAAAAAAAAAAAAGGAGATTTTTGCCATCATTGAAAATCTATGAAGTTTTTTTTTTTTTTAATTTATAAATATACTTTATTAAACTGGTTGCCTATTTTTGAGTAATTAAAGTGGTTTTTCCCTACTACAAGTAACTACAGTGAATGTCTTTGGGTGATATATGTAATTATTTCTTTAGGACCAGTTCCAAGAAGTGGAATGGCACAGTTAAAGCACATAGATTATTTTCTTTAAGAGCTATGATAATATTTCCAAATACCAGTGTCCACCCCACTAAAAACGTAATGAGAATGGTCATTTCCTCAGTCTGTGATCAATACTGGATATTTAGCTTTTAAATATTTTTGCTTTTTAGAGGTAGAAAATACAGTTTATTTGATTTTTATTTGTGATAACAGCTGAGCTTAAGTAATGACATATTACGTACTGTGTTTCTTTCATGCAATATCTGTTTAGTATTTTGTTCAGTTTTTCCTTTATTGTCTGTCTTATCAGTTTGTAGAACATTGACTGTTTTCACTTTTCTTGCAGATACCTCAAGTTTGGCATTCCATTCATTTAAAAAAAAAAAACACACCATTTTTAGATACCCACTGACATGGTGAAGTAAAGACATTGTTAGGAAAAGGGCATGTAGGATGTGTATCATGAATCAAAAGAGAACTATCTTGGATGATCTCTTTGTTGTTAAGCCCAGTGATTGTAAGGGAGTGGGATTGGTAGAGATCTCACCGACTGCTGACTGTCTAGAACTCACTTTCACGTTGTGATCTGACTCCATTTGTTCAAAAACCCATCCTTACTGGGAGAAGTCAGAGCATGGGATATCCCTTGAGAATATAAGTATTCTCAAAAGTATGTAGAATACATTACTTTGAATAATTGGGTTTGGAACACTGAAGTGGTTAACAGAAGCCGCTATTTCATTCTTATGGCTCTGGAGTAAAATGGCCTTGACCTTTGGTCTGCCCCAAACCCCTCCTAAATTTTGCTTGCTTTGGCTAACTCTGATAGGAAATAGCTATGGGAGAGTAGGAAGGGAGTAGGGCTTAGAGCCCATATTTTAAATTCTACCACTTCCAGGTATGAGCTGTGTGGCCCTGCACAGGTTACTTCATTCCACTTAGTCTCCATTTCTTAGGTTTCCTGTGATCCATTTGGCGTGTCCTAAGCACCCAGTATATGCTTAATTATTTTGTCTCTTCTCACCAGGTCTGGTCTGTGTCATGTTCATCTCTGTCCTCATTAGTGTGGTAGTCTCTTTGAGATTATTTGATGACCAAAGTAATGGGGCCGAGTGTAACAGCTTAAATAAGAGCAGGTACATTCTGAAGAGTCTGAGGAGTGAGAATAAACATTCTCTGTATATTACTTACTGTTTAAGAAAGTTAAAAAAAAAAAAAAAAAAAGAACCCTCATGGCATTGATGGATTTTGGGTAATCAAGGCCCTCTCTTTTTGACCCGGAACACCCTCTCTAGGTCAGCTTGAGGGCCACAATGATGGTTCTGATTATTCCTCTCCAGGAGGGCCCTTAAGCTTTGACATCATCCCCTAACCCAGTGTGGCTGGAGGTCTTCCTGTCAGAGCCTCCTGGGGCCAGAATGGGCCTCTGGGGTGAGCCGGGCCTATAGCTGTTCCCACCTATAAGGAGCAGAGCTGTTCCTGCAACACAGCAGAAGCACCCAAGTGGGTGTGTGTATGTGCACATAATGGGCCCATCTGCTGTGGCTGCAGTCTGTGAATGCCCTGCAAGAGGCCAGAGGCCCGGACACGTGTCTCAGTAGCTACTTTTCCTTTAAGGGGGATGCTCACTCCCTGGCTCATTCCTTAGTACCTCCGACAAGGAATGGAAATCCATCCTGCCCTGATCAGCAGGTTGAGCACCTTCACCGGATTCAGTCTCACGCAGCTCAGCAAGGGAGTTGCTAGTGTCTAATTGTCTTCGTTTCCTAGGGCTGTGTAACATAGTAGCTTAAACTGGGTGACTTAAAACAACAGGCATTTATTTTCTCACAGTTCTGGAGGTGAGAAGCTGGAGGTTGAGGTGTTTGCAGGGCCATGTTTTCTCAAGACTTTAGGGGAGGATCTGTTGTATGCCTTTCTCTTAAAGGCTGCGGTGTCGGTGTCGCCATCAGTGCTTGGCTTTCCTTATCTCACAGCTGTGAACTTCAGTTTCATGGTGTTCCCTCCTAGGGTTGTCATTGCATTATCCTCTTGTAAGGACAATTGTCATATTGAACTAAGGAATCGCCCTACTCCAATATGACGTTGACTGATAACATCTTCAACGACACCATTTCTAAATAAGGGTCAGATTTGAGATATTGAGGGTTAACACTTCATCAAACCTTTTTGGGGCATGCAATTCAACCCGTAAACCTTATGTTGTATACAAGGGTACAGGTTTAAAGAGGATCAGTAATTTGGGCACGGTCACAATTAGGAGTGTTGGAACCAGGATTGGAACTCAGGCCAGTTCTCTTTCTGCTAAACTTTGGTGGGTCAGAATCCACTGGAGGGCTGATAATTAAGACTAAGGCTCAGGCTTTATACTCTTGCTCCTCCACCTGTGATCTATATACTAACTGGCAGCATTAGCATCACCTGGGAGCTTTTTTTTTTTTTTTCTTAAAGAAATGCAGAGTGTCAGGCCCCACCACACACCTACTTTTAATAAGATCGTCAGGTGATTTGGGTGTGTGCTCAGGTTGATGAAGCACCTGAATCAGGTATATGCTGCTTCTCAGTCCTGATTGCATATTAGATTGCTTGAGAACTGTAAAAGACAAAACATAAATAATAGTGATGACAGCCTTACCCCACGCTGTTGAATCAGATCTCTGATGAGGTGCCGACGTTTATATTTTTTAAAAGCTGCCCAGGTTATTCTGATTCACAGTGCGAGTTGAGGAACACTGTGGGGCTGGAGGTGCTCATTTCTGGAATATCCGGACTTCAATACTGAGGCTGAAAATTCTTTCTGCACAGGGTCTTGTTTTTATTTCCATATTAGTGCAGAAACTGGGCCTGGGGGGTAGTGTGTGGAATTTATTTCAGGGAATGCAGAATGTTATATAGCAAAGGAGATCACACTGCATTTCTTTTCTGACTTGACCTCCTACACACACTAAGTGTAGGGTAGCAACCTATTTGTCCAGCCTCCGAGCTTGAGAGAACATGAAAGGTAGTATGGAGACAGCTATCGTGGGCAGTCAGTGTTTGTTGAATTAAATTGAATAGCAAAAACCACAGGAGATCAGCATTGTTGATCTCACTGAAATGTATCATTTATAGAGAAGCTATTGTATTACTTTGGGATACAAAGTAATACAGAAAGAGTTGCAGGATAGAAGACTGCACAGACACTATGTTTAGCAATTCTTAGCGTGGGTGAAATGGCTTATGCTTGTAATCCCAACACTTTGGGAGGCTGAGGCGGGCAGATCACTTGAGCTTAGGAGTTTGAGACTAGCCTTGGCAACATGGTGAAACCTGTCTTCACAAAAAAATACGAAAATTAGCTGGGTGTGATATCATGCACCTATAGTTTCAGCTACTCTGGAGGGTGAGGTGGTAGGATCACCTGAGCCCAAGGAGGTTGAGGCTTCAGTGTGCTATGATCACACCACCTGACTGCCACCTGGGCAACAGAGTGAGACCCTGTCTCAAAAAAAATAAAAGATATTTAGCAATTCTTGGTATATAAATAAACATGGAAGAGTTTTTGGAAGTTTTGAGAATAAAGTGAGAGCAACCCTTAATACCTACAGATGTATTTTCTGCTGTAGGTTTGTGCAAAGGATCACCATTTCTCTTCCAAATGGTTGTTCCTTCATCAGTACAACACCCCATACATTGAAAATGGAATTCTCAGCTGGGCGTGGTGGTGAGCACCTGTAATCCCAGCTACTCTCAAGGCTGAGGCTGGGGAATTGTTTGAACCTGTGAGGTGGAGGTTGCAGCAAACCTCTCGAGATAGCGCCATTGCACTCCAGCCTGGGCAACAAGAGCAAAGCTACATCTCAAAAAAAAAATGAATTCTCCAACTTCTCTTTTGTTTTCTGACTTGCTTTCTTGCATCATGTATCCCATCTACTATTTTTTAAATGCCCCCTTGTCTTTGAAACCTCCTATTTGATTTACCCTGTAGGGACTGATCGAGTCCCTTACTTTTCCATTCTCCTTTGGGACATCTTTCATACGTTCATTTTTCCTTACCCCATTCTTATTATCCAAACTCTAATTGCCTGATACCTGGATGAGTAGCTATGCTTTCCATCCCTGCAATGGAAATTAAACTTTAAAAATTATATATATATATATGCGCCCTTTGTATAACATATCAACTCTACCTATATTTCTACTTTTGTTTTGCACTACTGCCCTGGTGGCCTCACTCCAGCTACACTATTGTTTTTACCTTTCCCATGGTTGCCTCCTGCACACATGCTCTGTGGTTGGCCCCCATTGCTGACTGCTTATTGGGGGTGATGCATACCCATCCTCTAGACAGTCTGTGCTTTTCTCGTCTTTGGAGGTTCCAGTTCCACCTCCATCAGGTCTTTCCTGACTGCTCCATCTTGCCTTATTTTTCTCTCTTTCCTTCTGATTGGAAGAGTACTCAACTTCTCTAAAACCTTTTCATGAACTCTGTTGTGATTTCACTTATATTGACTTTTTGACATATAATGTGCTGGTGTTCTGTTTCCTCAGCTAGATCAGAAGCTCCCTAGACAGGGCTCCATTGGTGTTAAACTGCCATCTTCAAGGTCTGGAACTTGATTTCTCTTTTTCTGCCCCCACAACAAGGCACTCCTCTGCACACAGTAGGAACTCAGTGCCTGTGGTCGAGTAAATGCGTGAAGGAAATTGGATCCCGTGTTGGGTATGTTTATTTAAATGTGTAAAACAAGAATGCCTTATGATGTGTATGCCAGAAGTGAAATTCTCATCTGTAATTACCAATGAAAAAAACACCTTGTATTTACAGTTGAGTTTGGCACCAAATCAGCCCTCGTGTCTCCTTCCTTGGTACAAATGTTGTAAAACTCTAAATGCTGCGTTTCCATAAAAGGAGCATGCATTTCTGTGGAGGCAGTGATTAATGTTGGATGTCTTTGGGTGGTACCATCCTACTCATGAGGGAAGCAGTGCTGTTCCAGGCTCAGTCTATGAATTGGTTTGCCTTTCTCTCCTCCTTTCCTGACCCTGCCATCCAGAAAAAAACAAACAACAACAACAACAAGAACCCCTGGCATTCTGCCTGCTGGCACCCTGTTAGGATAAAAAGATTGAAACACTTGGTATCTGTTTACTCACTCAGGTGAAGTTTGAGATGTCCTCCTGGGCTTTTGTTGGCTATAGACCCATCAAAATCTCATTGAATAGGTGTTGTGGAAACATGAGAAATACATGTTTATCATAGTTTATTTACTTACCTGTCCGTCAAATTAGAAAAGTGCCAGGCATTTATCTCAGTGTTTTACAAATATTAACTCATTTGAATTTCATAACCACCCTGAGACTTGGGTAGTATTCTCTGATTATCCCACTTCACAGATAAGGAATCTGGGCACAGAGCACTTCCGGTGCTTGGTAATAGTCACATGCAATCTTTTTCCTAGTTCTTAGCCTGCAGTAATTATTCAGGTAACGAAATGTCTGTGATTCCCAATTAGATGTCTAGTTCAAAAAGGCTTTTGTTTTATAAATCATTCTGGTTTTTTTTATGGTCATGGCTGTACTTGTATTTCCCTCTGAAAGTGGCAGAAGATGAGTGTATATGTGCGTGTATGTATCAGCGTTTTAACACCTACTAAAAAGAAATCTCCTACAGTGCTCTACAGTTTATAATTGCTTTTTCAGATATTATCTTCCTTAGTCCAGCCGTGCTGGTAAGAAGAGTTATTATTTATTTCCATTTAACAAATGCAGTAAGTGGCTTAGAGAGGTTGAGAGACTGAACATATCCTTAATGTGATTAGTACGTTGGAATTTGAACCCAAGTCCTCTTAATCCTTTGCTCTTCCAAGCTGTTATGCTGCTTGTAAATTGGGAAATCCTGTAGTCTCTGTTTTTCTTGAAGTTCTTTGTTTTTCTAACCTCCATCGAAATGATGTGGTTTTTGTTTTGTTTTGTTTTGTTTTGTTTAAACTTATATCCCAAGCCTGTATGGTGGAAGGTATAAAAGTAGAGGGGTTGAGAATGCAGTTTTT